GTCCTACCTAGTATAGCAAAGGTTGTCTATCCTAGCTTCATGGTAGTAGCATCTGGGAAGGTTTAAAAATTACTAGTGCCTGGGTCCCACTGCAGACCAGTTAAATTGGAGTTTGTGGGTGGGGTGTGAGCATCATTTGTTCTTTGAAAATTTCTCAGTGATTCCAGTGTTTAGACATATTTCCCTTTAAATTTCTCTGACTTCTTGTGACATTTATTCCTTTCTGTTTTTGTATTGTACTTATTTTTCATGTCTTATCTTTTATCTTAGACTTTATGTTCCCTGGAATAGAGACCTTGCCTCCCTCATTTCTGTATCTTTCCTGAACACATGAATTAGTCATCAGGAGAAGGTTCTCAACCACAGGTCGGTTGTGTCCTGAGTCTCAGGTTCACAGTTAATGCCACGGTCTTTGTCCTCCGTGAGGTCAGAGATTGCTTAAATGAAGGGTGTGGGTAGCTCCACAGTGCAGATAGTGGAGGGGAGATCGCCCTGTTTGGAATGTTTTTAGGCATCGCATTGGGACTAAGAATTATATGTGCGTATGGGGTGGAGGGGCAGGGCTGTGCAGAGAGGCAGATCTACGGTGTTTCCCTGAAAATAAGACAGGGTCTTATATTTATTTTTCCTCTAGAAGACACCCTAGGGCTTATTTTTAAGGGGTGTGTTATTTTTTTTAAGTATGGCACAAAAATCTACATTTATTCAAATATAGTTGTTTTCTTATGGAACTTCATCATAACTCTCCAAACCCCGAATTCCATCCTGTATTTCTTACGACTCTATTTCCTTTAGAACCATTGGCCCCAATCTCTCATGTTGAGCAATAGAGCTCTCATTAAATGAGCAGCTCTTATCCATGTAACCTGCTCGGAGTGCATTAGTAACAACACTGTCAGTGATTTTATCCCATGAATTCTTCACCCAAATCACCACCTCTTGCAGGCTGGGCTTCACAAAGTTTCCACGCTGATTTCTTGTCATTCTATTTTCAATGTAGTCGTTAATTTCTATGCGCAAATTGTCTTTGAATGGCTTGTTTATTGCAATATCAAGGGTCTGCAGATAGGCAGTCATTCCTACAGCAATCATTATTTGATCTATTCTTCTCTCTGCAAGGAAGTTCTTCATGTCTTTAGCACGGTGAGTGCTGGCTGAATCCCAGACTCGCAGAACTCTTTGGCCACCTCACAAAACAAGTGGCAGCATTAAATCAAGCCACTTCCTTATGTGCACCAGCCTTTTTCGGTTTCAAGAACATAAATGTTGGAAACATGTTCAATCTTATCTTTCCTGCCCTTAGTGATGATAAGAGGTGTGACTTTCTTTCCATCCAGACGAATTGCCAAAATATAGGTAAGTGTGAACTTTCGTGACCAGTGGAGGGAACATAGATTGAGGAGTCACTCCTCTGTTCAATTGTCGTTTGGGCTCTTTTGACCCATAAACACTGTAATTTCATATCCATAGCAATCATGTTGCAAGTTGGTATTTAGAAAAGTTCATGCCATCAACAAAGGATTTGAATGCAAGTGCTTGCTTAATAACTTCAGCATCTTCCCACTTAAACAGTGTTGTCGATTTTCTTAGAGACAGTTCATGTCGCTGAAGGAAGCCATCCAGCCAGTGTTGTGATGCTTTGAAATCTTCTGGGGATATTTCTAACTGTGGTGCCATTGCAAGGGCAAATCTTTGAATATCAGCCCTGCGCACAACCAAAGCCTTTGCTCTCCTGTCAGCAATCCATTCACTGATCATGTCTTCCAGCTCAGAAAATAAAAGTTGCCGACCTGAGCCACACTTGCACTTCTTAGCATTTCCTCTATCCACATGCAGACTGAGGTTATTGTATTCTGACTGCCATTTTCGGGCCATTCCAATATCCAACTTCTCTTTGCAGAAAGCCATACGATTCTAGTCCTTGGAGTCCTCCACAATTTCTTTCTTGTACTCAACAGAATAGTTCTTTCTTTTTACACTCATCTTGTCTAGGGGTACAGATACTCAGGAAAAGCAGAGATAGGCCAGCAAAGCTGATGTGTAAGGGCTGGCTTATTTATTAGAGATCCAGTGAGCACTGGGTCCAATCTGCACAGTAGAGCAGAAATGATCTCTCTGGGCTCAGTAGGAGACTCCCTGAAGCTTTTCCCCTATCCCCTGGTGTTCGTGGGGGGTGAGAGAGGCCCACAGTGCTGAGTAAAATGGCAGCCACAGCTTTCTTTCTTCTCCCTGGGGACGCACAATACCTAAAGCGGAGCTTCCCGCTCCTCACTTCACTGAGGAGATTTTCCTCTCAAGGCCTCAGCTCACAGCACGCACAGGATGGCCGGGACCTGACAGGGGGAGCCGACCTTGTTGGTGGGGCTGCCCACACCTTTCCGGTCACCTCTGGGATAGTAGCTGTCACGATGGGGCAGATGAGAAGGGCTGCTCATCTTCTTTACCGCTCAGCGAAGAAATGCATGATGGGTTGTGCAGATACGCTGTGTAGCCACGCCCATCACTAGGTCTTATTTTCAGGGTAGGCTTATAGTGCGCAAATGCTTAGAAATCCTGCTAGGGCTTGTTTTATGGGTAGGTCTTATTTTCAGGGAAACACAGTAATTAGGATTGGGGAGGTGGGCATGGTGGCTCATGCCTATAGTCCCAGCTACTCAGGAGGCTGAGGCAGGAGGCTCACTTGAGCCTGGGAGTTTCAGGCTGCTGTGAGCTATGATGATACTACTGCACTCTAGCCCAGGCAACAGGCAATAAATGAATAAATAAATAAAATTAAGATAGGGGATTATACTAGGTAGTGTGAACTAAAATAAAGTTTTAAGGCTCACCCCCCCACCCCCCCAGCTGACTGAATGGACCCCCTCATAGCCAAAGGAATATCCTAAAACTAAATTGTCTGCCAGGAAGAGGGAGATCAGACAGGCCTCATCATGCTCCCCCTCCCTTCTTGGAGACATCCTTTGTAACCCATTAGCAGGCCTAAGGGTATGCAAGACAATCCTGCAGGTCCTCAATTTACACAACAAATCTATGTCTGGTGGCTTATCTCTGATAACAGCTTCTTATGTTGAAACATTTCAAGCCTTTAGACAAAGCTTCATGTCTTTAACTAATTACAAGCCAAAAAATCTTTAAACCCACCTATAACCTGTAAGCTCCCCCCCCTCAAGATGTCCCATCTTTTTGGGCCAAACCAATGTATGCCTCCCACATATTGATTTGTGACTTTATCTGTAACCCCTGTCTCCCTGAAATGTATAAAAACCAAACTGTAACCCAGTCCCTTCGTGTCCACTAGCTCAAGGCCTCTTGGCAGTGGCTCCAGGTCATGGTCCTCAAATTTGGCTCAGAATAAATCTCTTTAAAATTATTTTACAGAGTTTGGCTTTTTTCCATTGACAGTAGTAGTGGTAAGGGAGTCAGAAGGATTAGTAAAGAGAAGAAATCTGAACCTATCGAATAGGCCAGAGTGGGCCACTGTGGATTCTTGAGTAGGAGAGTGAACTAGTTCTCAGGAAGGTAGTGAGGCAGTGGTATGCAAGGAGGATTCAGGGAGACTGGAGACAGGAAGTCATGCAGTGCTGGAGCAGTTGTTGGGTTAGGTTAGGTTTATGGAAGTGGAGAGAACGATGTAAGTGGGAGATGTTACAAAAGGATTGGGAAGCTCTGACGATGTGTTGAATGTGGGGAACAAATGAGGTGGTATCACTGGGGGAAGTGAGTGAGCTGTGGGGCAGGGCTCGTTTAAATGAGGGATTTCAGACTGGGCTTGGATGCGGGTGTCGTGAGCGTGAGTGCGCTGGGAAGTAGTAGGGGTTAGAGATGTAAATGTAGGAGCCTCTGCAGAGAGGTCACTGAAGCTGGGGAAGGAGGGGGACAAGGAGGGCCTGAGTACTAAATTTGGTGTTGGGGTGCAATACATAGATGGGGGAACGCCCAAGAAGACAAAGCTGTCTGTGGTCTTAGATGTTGTCAAAGTGAAAAGAGTGAGGGTGTCGAAAATACCTTTGAATTTGGCCAAGGGATGGTTACCGGTTTTGTGCTGCTTCTTGTGGTCTTGAGTGTGGAGGCAGCACTGCAGGGGGCAGGAGGAATTAGGTGATGAGGAAAGGAAAAGGCAGCACACGGATGTCAGTTGCTTGAGAATGAAGGAAATGAGGTAAGAGGTTAATATTTAGTGAAATTAATAAATGAAGGTTATTCATATTAGAAGAGATCTGGCCAGGCGCAGTGGCTCACGCCTGTAATCCTAGCACTCTGGGAGGCGGAGGTGGGCAGATCGCTCGAGGTCAGGAGTTCGAAACCACCCTGAGGCAAGAGCAAGACCCTGTCTCTACTATAAATAGAAAGAAATTAATTGGCCAACAAATATATATATATAAAATTAGCCAGGCATGGTGGCGCATGCCTGTAGTCCCAGCCACTTGGGAGGCTGAGGCAGAAGGATTGCTTGAACCCAGGAGTTTGAGGTTGCTGTGAGCTAGGCTGACGCCATGGCACTCACACTAGCCTGGGCAACAAAGCGAGACTGTCTCAAAAACAAACAAAAAAACAAAAAAAAAAAAGGAGAGATCTGACCCTCTGGGAGGCAGAAAAAAGGAACTGGGAGCAGGGAAGAGACAGAAGGTCTAGGGAAGTTTCTGAGTGACTGAACCTGTGGAGAACCTCGAATTGCTACACCTGAATCAATGGATCCACCTGTGTGGGAAGTGTTCTTGGCCCCTATTGAAGAGGCCCGGACATCTTTTGCTCATGAAATCATCTTCTCTCCCAGAGAGATAGGGAGTTCCTTCCAGGCAGGTTGGAGCCGTGGTCTGTTGCTTCCAGATACACCCACTTTGTTAGCAGGTGTGTGAATAAATTTAGCTAATTCTCTGATCACTAGATCAAATATCTGTAGACTTAGAAATAGGTTTACTCTGACTCCCCATGGAACAATTTCTTTCTTCTGCCTGTAAAGATGACATTGTCCAAAGTAGTATCAGCCATGAGACAGCATGTTGATGTCTGATATATTATTTTTATTATAAATATAGAGCAAATTTTACAAATAATTGGGAAGTGGCCTTAGCCAGACAAAATTAAATAACACAGTATAGCATGGATGAGGGAAAGTATGTACAATCATGTCAGGGTTAGAAAACCCTGAAAAAGGTACCTGAATTCATAGAATTTCCAACTAATTCTCTTGGAGAAGGCCTCTTAGGCATAGCATGAGATCAAGTAGGTAATATTGAATAAAACCTTTCTCTTGGCCCCAAAGAGATTCCATCTGTGTAGAAGAAGGCTGGGTGAGAAGCATGTTTGCCTCTCCTCCTGCCCTTCCTTTTTATTGTAAGACACATTCATGGACCCCATGGGAAAAAAGATAGATCTCAGAGGCTGTTCACAATGCCTAGGGCTGAGTTATAACCACCCTCCCCCATGTCCTAAAACCCTCTCACAGCCCTAAAACCCTCTCACAGCCCTGTTCCCCAAGGGTATTAGCACCAGTACAGCCTTCTAGTTGTAAACAATGCCACCAGCATGGGTGATAGTGTCCCTGTAGGGTGCTCCCACTTCTCAAGGACCAAATACACCTTAGCGGAGGCAAGGATTCCTGAGACAGTGAGTGGGGCAGACAGAAGATGCACAGGTGGAGATGTGGAATAGAATGGTGGTTGATGCCTGGTCTGAGGTGCCTAGAAACTGAGTTAGATCCATTTCTAGCCATGAACAAGGAAGGCTCTTCTTATTTTCTATTTGGAACCCCTGACAAAAAGCCTAGAGAGACTCTTGACCAAGAGACCTGAGGGATTTTGATGGCTTCTTTCTCCTAAGGCAGTCAGACTAGCTTAACAGCTAATCTAAGTAAAAATAACCCTTTTCACATAAATAAGCAGGTACAAAAATTAAAATGGCAGAGAAAAGGAGAAAAACCCCAATACCTCAAATTGTGCATTTTTAAACAATAACTTAAATAATCTCTGAAGGGTATCTCTCTGATTCATTTCCCAAGTTCCTAGCAGATTGTGTCTATTAAAGACTTGTTTTCCCCAAAGCTGTAACCCCTCCCTCTTTCAGCACGTCCTTGAATAAAGCCATAAAGATATTAAAACATATGTGCACTTTTCCATTTTCCATCAGGAATCACCTGTGGACCTTGGCAAATAGTATTCCTAGTTGATTCTAGTGGGTTCTCTGGAGAGAGGTTTTCCAAAGGGCTTAGATAAGCAGCAAGGTGCCTAAACCCTGATCCTGTAGGTAGACCACCCTGACAGTGAACAAAGGTATAGCATTTCCAGGGTCACTATTAGTTATATATTTGATTTTCCTGGGTATGGTGGGTTCACAACAGGCTTTTTTTTGGCGGGGGAAGAAATGAGCTAAAGACACAACAGGCTATGAAGAAAGAAGAGGGGCCATTATTGCCTTTACTTTCTCTCTCTCTCTCTCTCTCTCCCCCTCTCTCGCTTTTTCAGGCACATGTACTTCAGTGGAGAAGGGCATAGCCTCAAGGTTGTGGCAAATTCAAGTCAGACTCTGATAGGACAAGACTCGGGTGGAAAGGAATGAGTGAGTGCTAAATAGATAAATTTAAAGCAAGTCCAGGTAGAGGAAAGGGGGAGGGGTGGGGAAGTTCTGGCAACTGTGTCCCAAGTTGGTTTTGCCAAATTTCAATGACAAGGAAGGTTGGATTCCCTACAGACTCCCAGACTCCCGGATGTACCTTTTCATGTATTGACATTGGAGGGAGGGATGTGACCAGGCAGCCAGGAGGTGCCTATTAGGGAAGAAAGGGTGGGGGAGACTACTTCCCTTCACCCCTGAGGGTAATGGGATCTCCTAGAGATGAGGGTGAGAGACTTGGAAGACATCAGCAGTGCAGTGAGCAGGACAGGTTGCATTACTTCTTTTTTACTTCTAAATAAACCGTATCTGTGGCTGTTGGCGATGGGGAGGCTGAAGTTGGTTGTGTTGGTTTCTGGGCTTTGAAATTCAGGGTAGAATATGCAACTTCATCCATCTGAAAAGCACGAGTAATGATCAGTTAAGTCAATGTCATGAGTCAGGGCCTCCCTTTGCCTAGTGAGATTCAGTACCATGGCCTGTCACCTGTCACCACCTGACACTGTGAGGTTTGGAGAAGGGCACTTATTACCCATCCTCTGCTTGCTGACATTCTGACGAATGATCATTAGACGACCTAGATTACGGTGGCGTTTGTGAGATGGAATATGATAACACAGCAATGAGAATGAACAAACAACAAATACGTATAACAATATGGATGAAACTCACAACACAGTGTTGAATGAAAGAAGCCACAGATAAGGATATGCTGCATTTCTCATTTGTGTAAGAGCAAAACCAGGCAAAACTGATCTGGAGCCCTGGAAGTCAGGATAGTGGTTACTGTCTGGAGGGAAGTGCCGGGAAGGGGGTCAGGTAGTGTTTCTTGATTTGGGTGCTGTTTACATGGGTGTGTTCAGCTTGTGAAAGTTCATACATCGGGAAAGTATAATTATGAGTTAGCACTTTTCAGTATGTATGTGTGCTCTATTGAAAGGTTAAAATGAGAAAAATTCTGTAAAATTCTCATAAAATAAAGAAAGCAGGATCTCAGATCCATTAGAATGGAAATTATCCTTTCGACAGTAAGAGCAGGGTCAGGTTGAGGGTTGAGAGAGGGTCAGAGAGGAGGGTTGAAGACTTAGTGTCTTCCTTATTCTGGCCATGGTGCTGGGTGCTCTACACATGGTAACTTGTTTAATCCCTTCAGCTTCTCTTTGAAGCAGGCAGAAAGCCCCTTTTACAGATGGCAAAGCTGAGGGTCAAAGAAGGCAAGTTACTTGCCCAGAGTCACAGAGCTACTAAGAGTCACAGCCAGTATTCAACACAGGATGGGGATGATTGAGGTGGACTCATGGGTGTGATTAGCAATGCTTCTTTGTTGCTGCACTGAAGAACTCTAGCCCAAATGTCTCACATTTATGTCTTCAAGAATAACCAATTCTCTACACAGTCATTTCCATGAGAAAATGAGCCAGTGAAAGTGCTGTGCTTACCTTGTCAGGTGAGTTGTCAGAGTGGTCCTGACCTGGGGAAGCAAAGAAGAGTTACCAATCCGTGGAAATGCAAAGCTGACTTAAGGCCTGGTAGTTTCTAGCTGAAGGAGGTGGCGGGTGGCGGCAGTGGTCGTGGCTAGGTGCGGGGAGGTGGCCCATCGTCAGGGAAGGAATCCGCTTCCCTCAGAGTCTGTGGTGCAGACTCGGTGGTGGCGCAGTATTAGAGGAGGGCAGGGGTAGCGCCACAGGAGGCCGCTTTCCACTTTTGAAGATTTCTACCGGTTCACAAGGCCTTGCTTTTTGCCCAGATGTGTTTCTCAGCAACATGCTCCAGTGGCAAGGAGGGGCATTGAGGCACACAGCACCCAGAGCACCCAAAAGACCAGGAAAGTCTCACCAAGGAGAATGCCCACATCCGTAATAGAGGCAGGAGGGGGAGGAGTAAGGATGAGGAAATGGCTCCTGGGAACGTGGGATCTTGCTCAGGCCTGCCTGGCCTGGGTGGAGTGAGCCTCTTTGGCACAGCTGTGTCTCAGGGGACTCCTGTGGCTAGGAAGGGTGAGGACCTGTGCCAACTCAAGATTGGGAAATGGAGATCCCTTCTGTAAAAATTCAGAAGGAGCTGGGCATGGTGGTGTACACCTGTAGCTGCAGCTACTTGGGAGGCTGAGGCAGGAGGATCACTTGAGCCCAGGAGTTGGAGGTTGCAGTGACCTATGATGATGCCACTGCACTGCAGCCTGGGTGACAGAGTGAGATTATGTCTAAAAAAATATATACAAAATCATAAGGGAGGGAGATTTGGTAATCTAGGATTCCTTGCTAGGGCAGGGCACATGGTGGAACATAACAGTTCACACTGAGAGAGTGGCTTTACTTACTGTGGTTGGAGGCTGAGGATTTGTGCTCTGTGAGATCATGCTGGTCGCTTGCCCTAAATAAACATCAGACACTGTGACTGCTATTCCCAAGCACAGGATCTTTGCTCCCTGAGTTAGGAAGGACGCTGTCAGCAGGTAATTTCCTGAGGCTACTTGATGTTCGTGCAAACCATGGTTGGTGCTGCCTTTCCTGTCAGGGCCTCTTCAGCTAACTATGACCCCTTCTAGGGTTTACTCTTCTCGTTGCTGGATGTTCACATTTAGGTTCATCCTCTATTGACTGCTTCTGTGCCTACTTCTACCCTAAGAGCTTTCTCATTTTGTTTTCCAGGAGTACATTTTTTTTTTTTTTTGATGTGTGTGTCATCTGAAATGACTTTGGTTGTTTTTGCTTTCTTTTAGGTTCTCTTCCTATCCTGTTTCTCCCTCATTCTGCTACTGTGGTCAATGGAGCACATGACTTGCTTTCTCCTGCTGCTTCTTTCATTTTCTCATCTGGTTTTCTTTTTGGACCTTGGCTTCCTTGACTCGGGAACAGAGGAACATGATTGGGTCAGTTCCTCTAGACTATATGGGGATTAGAATAGCCGTGTCAAGAGACGGTGGGGTGCAGGCAGCATGAAGACCAGGGGAGAGGAGACCTGCAGGAATTAGTGCCGAGGAGTGGGAGTTCAGGCGGAGGAGGAGGAGCTGTAGGCCCAGAGACAGGTGAAGCACTTCTTACCCTCTCCCGAGCATGGCAGTTAGCCTTGGATGAACCTAACAGAGGAAAGGCCATCATACCTGCCAGTCTTCCTGAAATACAGAAAATACACCAGGCCTGTTAAAACAAAGCCACCCTGGCCAGGACTCCAATCACGATGCCAACAGTGGCTCCAGCAGAGAGGCCCAAAGAATTTCCATGTGATGAACCATCTACATGGGAAAAAAAGAGAAGGAATGAAGGTGGAATTAATTTACAGTGGGGTTGTCCCAGAAAATAACTCTCAGTATGAAGTAATCTCTACTTGTTCCTTCAAGGAGTACATTTTTTGTGTGTATGGGAAGGTTGCTAGGAGGTGATTAGCCAACTATATCCTTGCAGTGTTTTTCCTCTCACCATGTTCTAGGTTGGTGATCAGTCTTTGGTCAATTCTATTTTGGGCTTTCTGCACTCAGATATTTGTGAAGGCTTTGAAATATGAGAAAGGCTCATTGCAATTTTTATATGTTATTAGAACTTTCGACCTCTTTGTGGTTGCATCTTTTTCTCAGTGTCTCAGAGCCATGAATATGAGCCTCTCAGATCTCTATGGCAGGGACTGAGCTGACAGAAGGCCCAGGCCAGTGCATTCTGAGTTCACCACCTCCTTTGTACAGAGACCTGGCTTCCCACTGGCTCCCAGCAAGCCCAATTCTGCCAGGCTCTGGTTTCCTCTGATGGGTGACTGGCTCGAGGACTCCCCATCAGCCTTGCAGAAACTCCCTTAGAACTGCACTGCAGCCCCAGACGCCCTTCTCTTCCTCCCTCACAGGCATCAGATCTGCAATGTGGTCTGAGGCTCTCCCAGGCTCCTCTCATTCCTGCTCCACTCTCCCTCACAGGCATTTTCCCCAACACATTATCTTGCATGTGTAATCCCATCATGGCTGTATCTCAGTGGATGAAAATGAATATATCAGGGTTGAGACTTTGCACTTAACTCCTTTTTCTCCCCCTCTCCAAAATTTAGTCAGTAATCAAGTCCCAGTGGGATTATTTATGTAAGGCATCTTCCCTCCCATATTTATATGTGTGTGTGTGTGAATATCTATATATCTATTTATAACTACATAAAATACCTTTTATACCTGTTTCTCCTTTTTTTATGTTGCAACCATTTGGGGCTTAGCTCTTACCTATTAACTCAAGTCAGAGGATTAATGCTAACATTAGCTATGATTGTGGGGTATTTACTATGTACCAGGCTCTGTGCTAAACACTTTACATGTATCTCATTTGATCTATACAGTAACCCTGTTAGGGATACATTATTTCCATTTTAAAAGTAAAAAATAGTGGCATAGAGTGGTGAGAAAACTTACCCAAAGTCATATGGCTGGTGAGAAGTGCATCTGGGATTTAACTCTAGTTAGGACTATCTTACTTCAAGGCTAGTGATAACAGTAGTAATAATAGCAGCTAACATTTATGAAACATTTTGTCTGTGTGTGGCATTTTGCTAAAGGTTTAATTATTTAAGTCTACTTAAATACTTAAAATCTACTTAAATACTATGAAGCAGGTACTCTTGTTGCAATTTTTGGTTGAGGATTCTGAGGCTCAGAGAAGTTAAGAATCTTGTACAAGAAATTTGTAACTTGTAAACACATTTAAAAAGAAGAAAGATATCAAATCAACCTAACTTTGCAACTTAAGGATAAAGAAAAAGAACAAATTAAACTGAAAGATAGTGGATAAAGGAAATAATAAAGATTAGAGTAGAAATAAATAGAATGGAGAATAGAAAAATGATGGAGAAAATCAATGAAACCAAAACTTGGTTCTTCAAATAAGATCAGCATAATTGAACCTTAACTAGATTGACTAAGAAAGAAATAGAGAAGATTCTAATTACTACAACCAGAAATGAAAGCGAAGCCTTTACTACCAATTCTGCAAAAACAGTGATTATTAGAGTACTAGGAATAATGGTATGCCAACAAATTGGATAACTAAGTGAAATGGACAAATTTCTAGAAACACAAAATCTACTAAGATGGAATAATAAAGAAGTAGAAAATCTGAATAGACTTATAACCAGTAATGAAATTCAATCAGTAGAAGCACTGGACAAAACTCAGTATTCTTTCATGATAAAAACACTCAAACTAAGAATAGAAGTAAATAATTTCAACCTAATAAAGGCTATATATGAAAAGCCCACAGCTAACATTATACTTAATTGTGAAAGACTGAAAACTTTTCCTTTAAGGTCAAGAACAGGACGAGGATGTCTGCTTTTGCCACTTCTATTCAATGGAGTATTGGGAGTCATAGCCAGAGGAATCAGGCAAGAAAAAAAAAGCATCCAAATCGGAAAGAAGCAAAATTATCTCTGTTTGCAGATGACATGAACTTTTAAGTAGAAAACCCTAAAGATTCCACAAAAACACTGTTAGAGATAATAAACAAATTTAGCAAAGTTGCAGGATACAAAATCAACATGCAAAAATCAGTTGTATTTTTGTACACTAGCAATGAACAATCCAAAAGGAAATTAAGAATAAAATTTTATTTATAAGAACTCCAAAAAAAAATACTTAGGAATATTAACAACTTAATGAGGAATGTGAAATACTTGTACCCTGAAAACTACAAAACATTGTTGAAAGAAATTAAAGAAGACATAAATAAATGGAAAAGATGTCCTATTTTCATGAACTAGAAGATATAAAATTAAGATGGCAGCACTAACCAAAGTGAACTACAGATTCAATGCAATCCCATCAAAATCCCAATGAGATTTTTTGCAGAAATAGAAAAACCCATTCTAAAATTCACATGGAATCTCAAGGGACCCTGAATAGCCAAAACAATCTTGAAAAAAAAGAACAAAGTTGAAGGGCTAACACTTCCTTATTTCAAAGTTTACTACAAAGCTGTAGTATTCAAAACAATGTGGTATTGGCATAAAATAAGACAGAAATCAATAGAGTAGACTAGAGAGCCCAGAGATAGACACTTGCATATATGGCCAAATGGCTTTTGACAAGGGTGCCAAGACCATTCAATGGGGAAAGGATCATCTTTTCAGCAAATAGTGTTGAGAAAACTGGGTATCCATGTGAAAGATGAAGTTGAAACTTTTCCTAATACCATATACAAAAATTAACTCAAAATTGATCACAGATCTAAATGTAGAGCCAAAACTATAAAAATCTTAGAAGGAAACATAGGGTGAAAACTTCATGTCATTGGACTCGGCAAAGATTTCTTGGCTATGACATGAAAAGCATGGGCAACAAAAGAAAAAATAGATAAATTTGACTTCATGAAAATTAAAAACTTTTATGCATTAAAGAACATTGTCAAGAAAAAGACCACCTATAAAATGGGAGAAAATATTTGAAAATCATACATCTGTTAAGGGATTAAAATGCAGAATATATAAAGAACTACTACAACTCAACAACCAAAAACCCCTAAACATCCCAATTGAAAAAATGGGCAAAGGACTTTTATAGACATTTCTCCAAAGAAGATAAACAAATGGTCCATAAACACATGAAAAGATGCTAAACATTGGTAATCATTAGGGAAATGCAAATCAAAACTCCAGTGATATACCACCTCACACCCATTAAGATGGCTAACAAAACAAAAACAGAAAACAAGTGTTTTTGAGGATGTAGAGAAATTGGAATTCTTGCTGGAAACTGGAATACATTGCTGGTGGGAATGTAAAATGGTACAGTCACAGTGGAAAATACACAGTGGTTCTTCAAAAAACTAAACAGAGAATCACCATTTGATCCAGCAATTCCACTTCTGGGTATATACCTAAAAGAACTGAAAGCAGGGATTAGAACAGATATTTATATACCCACATTCATAGCAGCATTATTCATAATAGGCAAAAGAAGGAAGCAACCTAAGTATTCCTATATGGATGAATGGATAAGCAAAATGTGGTATATCTATACAGTGGAATATTAATTATTCCATTAAAAGGAATGAAATTCTGATATGTGCTACAACGTGGATGGACCTTGAAGACATTATGCTAAGAGAAGTAAGCCAGACAAAAAGGGACAAATATTGTATGTTTCCACTTGTATGAGAGGTACTTAGAATAATCAAACACATACAGACAGAAAGTAGAATGGTGGTTACTGGGGGCTGGGGTGGGGAGTGGGTAGTTATTGTTTAAGGGGTACACAGGCATAGTATGGTAGGATGAAAAGTTCTGGAAATGGATAGTGGTGATGGTTGTACGATGTGAATGTACTTAATGCCACTGACCTGTACACTGAAAATGGCTAAAATGTAGGTCTTATGTATTGTATATTTTACCACACACACAAAAATGTTAACAGAAAAACAAAACCACAATGTTATGCAAAGTCACACAATAAATGTGAGACCCAGGATAAAAAACTAAGTATATCTGATTCACAGCCCGAGCTCTTAACCACTTTGCAATTCTGTTTACTCTAGTGGTCGCTTAATTGATATTCTGCCCCCTGGACTTTTATCCATTTTGCACACCATTGGCAGAGTAATCCTCCCAGGAAGATGTAGGAAGGGGCAAGTGGTCACTCACGTTCCACGGTCAGCCTGAAGATGTCACTTCGGTAGTGACTGACTGGGTTGGAGACCTCACACTGATACTCCCCGGCATCCCCCCTCTTGACAGGGTTTATGCTGAGACTGATGTTGCCCTGGGTCAGCTGCATCCTCTCTGTCACCTGCAGACTTTGGTTGTTGAAGATCCACCGGATGGAGATTCCAGTGTCATTTGTGCGGCAGGTCAGGACCACAGAGTCCTTGTCTTCCATGACTGTGCTGCTGCTGGCGTGGATGGAGGGCTGTGCCACTGGCTCTGTGGAAAAACAGAAGGTGACCAACTGAGAGAGTGGCCTGGGGCCTGGGGCCATGCTCCTTCCTCAGAGATCTCAGCCAGCTGTCAGGCCCCACAGTGAGCTGTGCAAGATTCAGGCCAGGCCACCCGGACACCTTCTCCACATGGCCTGTCCCACCCTACATGCAGTCAGAGCAGAGCTGGTCACCAGACGAGCCAGGAGCAGAGCAGGGAGCAGAGTTTCAAGATGTTCATCCCTTCTCCAAGGGGATTTCCTCCTCTCATTTGGGGAAAAAATTATGCAAGCCTATTTCAAAACCTCCTATGTTCCTTGTAGCTCATGGAGTAGGTATAAACAAAAAGAAGTTACAGAGGGGATGTGTTAGTGAAAGAAAGAAGCCACTTGACCTTGAGGACAACTTCCTCCTTCTTCTGTGAAGGCCCTCCCACTAGATGGGGCTGAGGGAACCCCCTTTCGACATTCCAGGCTGGACCCAAAGTCAGGTGTGTGAAATCAGAGAAGCTAGGGGAGGAGACAATCTGCAGAGACAGAGTGGGAGGGCTCAGGGGGAACCTGGGACACATTTGTGCCCAGGACACAGGCTGGGGAAGAAAATTTCTTTATGGCTCTTCTCTGAACACCAGACATAGTCCATACCAAAACTTAATGCCAATCCTCCAGGGATTCATTTACCAGAAACTGTGATATTCTTGACTGTGGTCCTATTGCGGCCAGTGGCAGAGTTGTGGGCAACACAGGCATAGGATCCGCTATTATTCACAGTGATGTTGGGGACGAAGAGCTCTTGTGTGGGTATCTGGAGACTCCCATTGATAAGCCAGGAATACTGTGCAGGCGGGTTAGAGGCCGCGTGGCAGGTGAGGTTGAGGTTTGCCCCTTGACGGTAATAGGAGTCTGGGGGGGAAATGGTGGGGTCGTCGGGGCCATCTGGACAAAGAGAATAAAGCCACATGTGATGTCATCAGAGGAAAGGGGAAGCTCCTGGTCTGTAGAAGGGTCACAGTGACCCTCTGAATCATGTCACAAAGAGTTTAAAAAATTACAATCTGGACAGGTATGATGGCTCTTGCCTATAATCCAGTGGTTTGGGAGGCTGAGGTAGGAGGATTGCCTGAGGCTAGGAGTTCGAGACCAGCCTGGGCAACACAGCCAGACCCCATCTCTCCAGAAAATTAAAAAACTAACTGGGCTTGATTGTGTGTGCCTATAGTCCTAGCTACTCAGGAGAATGAGGCAGCAGGATCACTTGACTCCAGGAGTTCAAGGTTACAGTGAGCTATAGGATCCCACCAGTGAACTTCAGCCTGGGCAACAAAGGGAGATCCTTAAAAAACAAAAACCAAAAACTGCCAACCATAACCTGAGTCTGAGACATTGAGACACTAACCTGTTTCTCTCATCACAGGTTGTTGATCATGAGCATCTCAAGACAGGAGCGCCCCTCCCTCCTACTCTTGGTCAAGGCTGGGCCTGACCGGGTTTGCCTGGGGCAAGAATCTTGGCCAGCCAGGGTCTCCAGGGGTGAGGGTCTGTGCACTTCAACCCCAGAGAGACTGAATGGCCTTGTCTCTGGCCGGATGAATTTGGGCTGCAGCCTGGGCTGTGGAGGAACAGAAAATACTCACAGAGCACATTCAGGTTGACTGGGTCACTGCGGCTGCCACTCACTGGGTTCCAGTTTTCACAATGATAGGGTCCTGTGTCATTCCTTGTGATAAAGATTAAAATGAGGGTCCTGTTGTCCAGGGACATCACCAGCCTGTCACTGCCTTGGAGCCTCTGGCCGTCTTTCCACCACAGGTAGGTGGTGTCCTGAGTCTCAGGTTCACAGGTTAATGCTACGGAGTCCTCATCCTCCACGGGGCTGGAGCTGTTGCTTGTGATGGAGGGTTTGGGTAACTCCGCTGTGCAGATAACAGAGAGAAGGTTGCCCTGGGTGCTACCTTTAATACCTCTAAAATCATCCCTCAATCAGGGTTGGCATCTCTCACCTCTCAGCCAACCTGAGTGATTAAAAGACCAAGGCAGGTGCGTATGTCACGAGACAGACGCAGGACGAACTGAGGGTCAGAGAACGTGAGGCCACCTGCTCTGTGTCTGGGAGATGCACAGACTTTCTCACCTGAGCAGCAGCAGTGGGTGGTGGACAGACACAGGACCTGGAGCCAGACTGCCCCTCCACCCCCACCCTGGCGCTTCTCCTGGTCCTTCCCTGACTGCCTGACTGACCCTGTGGTCCTCACCTGGAATGTGCGGGCGTTAGGTCCCCTCTAGCTTCATAGTCCCACTTTGCCCCCCTAGGTGTGTTTCTCTGAGGCTGTCCTCAGATATCCCAGAGATGGGTGCTGAGGGGACTTCCCATTGTCTTAGACCCTGAGGTTACTGGGCAGCCTAGCCTTGGACTGGGTGTTTGAGCACAAATAAGGAAGGGAGAGCAGGAGCCAGCCTGGAGAGCAGCTCAGCAGTCAGGCTGTGGGGCCACGGGTTGGGGCAGTGTTTCCCAGCTGCTTGATGGTGACTGACATGAGCCAGTGACTCCTAAAAGGTAGAGCAGAGTCCAAGGAACAATCTAGAAAAGAGTGAGGGGACACATAGGAGCTGGTGGCTTTGGAGCAGAGCCATGGTCCCTGTCCTTGGTCCTTAATGTCCCTTGTCCCTGTGCAGAGGGCCGATTAGGACTCTGTGAATCATTCCAGAAATACAGATGGATGTTTGCAAACACAGACCTGACTCGTGCAAAGGGGGGAGCACGAACATGCTGGAATCTGGCTTCATGGACCTCGTGTATTGGGCAGATGGGATAGGAATATGAGAAGTTAAGTTCCTTCCATGTCTGAAAAGTATTATTAATACTCAGGATCTAAGACCAATTGCTGGGAGGAATATTTCTCTAGAGAGCATGATGAAGTCTTAGACCAAGCTCTGAAGTCCAGCAGGTCACATTATGCTCAAAGGAAGATGTTGAAGTCGATTTGGAATGAGTGACTCCCTGGGTAGAGAGAGACGCATGAGCCCTGTTATGACAACAGAACTAGTCAGAGGGAAGTGTGAGGTGTCTCAATAATAAAAAGAGAAGAATGTTACCAAATTAGGAGAAGTGATATGTGTGATGGTAATAAATTTAGAAAGAGTTTCATGACCATCATTCCTGGTGAGAGTTAGGCAAAATGGGGAGGAGCCCAACAAGGCATGTGAAATGCTTTCTTCCTTTCTCTTGACCTTAGGAAACACAACTAGAGTTTGATCAACTTTGTCCAAACTGGACAGAGTCTAAGCGAGACACTGTGGCTCATGCATCTCACCATCGGAGGGACCCCACCTTCTGGTAACGGTGTTATCATGAGGGACACAGGTGTTTGTGGAGCAGGCTGTCACACCTCAGACAGCACCAGTTTAGCCAGCTCCACCTGGGATGGTCCCGGGAACCATGGAGGACGTGAGCCCCAGGCCAGGACAAGGCTGGAGTCAGGAGTCAGTGGATGAAATGGGCCTGTGGCCTTGGGGGTTGCAGACCTGTCTTTCTCCTTTGACCCCTGGTGAGGGAGTGTAGAGAGCAGATGGAGGGGTCACCCGTCCTTGTTCCATAGCCTGTCCTACTTGGAGGCCTCACGGAATGAAAGAGCCCTGGGAGGGGACAGAGTGGAAGCTCATTGCCCTGGTGATCTGAGGACATTGGCTTGTGATGGAGCCTGGCAGGGGCAGCTGCTCTGACTGATTTCCATGCCTTTACTATTGCCTGGGAGGTGGGCCTGGCCACAATGTTAGCAGGAAGGGACCAGGACAGGCAGCTGTTGTTGGTGGGAGTGTCAGGGGAAGGCTTAAGGGTGGAGGAAGCTGTGCAGGGCAGGCACAGTCCTGACTGGAATGAAGGGGGAGGAAGATGAAGGACACGGAGGAGCAGAAAGAGCCAGACATGCCATGGCAGTGAGCATGGGGGTTCCAGGGACTTCAGAGATCCCAGGACCAGGGAGCCCTGAAACCCCCACAGCTGGGAAGCCCCAGAGTCACATAAGACCGGTTCCTGGTGGCTTTAGGGGCAGGTGTCACAGGGATGGAGCTTGGGTCTCAGCCCCTGAGGGACAGGGAACAGGCAGGGTCAGAACTTTCTAGGATTCTAAATCCAGGATCCAGTCTCTGAAGAGGTCATGGTCATTCATTCATTCCCTCCCTCCTTCATCAGAGAACTACTGAGAGTGTCGCATGTTGGACCCTGTGCTGGTGCAGGGTGTGAGTGGGGAGAGACAAAGCCACGTCCTTTCCTGTACCTTCCGTGGCAGTGACATGGACACAGCAGGAAGCACCTGGTTTAGAGTCCAGTGGGGTGTGTGGCTGAGGGGAGGCCTGGGCATTCCTGACGCTGACTCTGCTTGTTGAGGCTGGTGATTTAGTTCTAGAATGAAACTGACTAATTCTCCATTTGCTCCTCACTCCCCAGACCAGAATCCCCCCTCTGAGCTGCAGATGCAGCTGATCCCACCACTGGCTTTGGGGTCTCCAGATGCCTAATAAAGCCCTGGAGTTGAGGGAGGTTGAGGGTGTGGTTTCAGACAGGCCTCTTGTGACTCTGATCTTCAGTCATGTTCTGTGTGACCCTAATTCAGTTTTGTATTGCCCCATGTCTCAGTTTCCCCTCAGTAAAGTAGAGTACCTGGTAAATGGTCTCTGGCTTATCTTGTCTGTGAATTAACCTTAAAATATTCACAATTACCTGACCTAACTAAAGCTTCGTGCAGAGGAGCTGCCCAAATAAACAGCATCGATTGTTTTGCATCCATGAGAGCCTCCCGTCCTGATCCCTGGTGGACAGGAGCTTCCAGGAGTGTCCTCTGTCCTCAGTTCCTCCCTCTGGGGACACTGACTTCCCTGAAGTCTCTTAAGTCCCCCAGGGAAGTGAGCTGATGGCCTGAGGAGGCTGTCCATCTGTGCCATCCACACTGAGTCTCAGGTGACTTTCTGGGCATTGTGGTTGCCAAGATGAGGCCGTGGGGTCAGGCCCTGGCTGGTGACGAGCTCCAGGAGCCATGGCCCATGGACAGCTGGTAAATTATGGCCCCCTGTCAGGAGGCCAAAACCCAGCCCTGGCCACGGGCTCCCCAGGGTTACCTGGACTCAGGAGTCCTGGGCCTGAGCTTCTCTGTGAGGATCCCAGGGGGCCCCTCAGGCCAGGCCCTGACCAGGTCCTACAGGATCCTTGTCAGGGCCATGTACATGGGGAGGGCACAGGGTGCTGAACTGAGACTGATCCCCTGCTGAGTTGCCTGTCACACTAGTCTTTCCTCTGCAGGGAATGTCTGCAGGGTCTGGACGCAGGAAAGGATTCTGATCTTTTGACGTTTGCCTCCCCCGTCTGTGTCCTGCACTAAGTGCCCAAACCCCAACATGGGACATAATGCAGAGGGGAAGGCAGGCACAGTCCAGGCCTGAGAAGTCCGTGTGGGTGAAGTAGAACTGAACACCCGCCCCCCCCCCCAATGAACACCCAGAGGTCACTCACGGTACACGCGGAGCAGTGCAGTTACTTCTTCATTCTGAAGATTTGCATATATAACTTGTAGGGTGTAGTATCCTATGTCATTCAGGGTGACGTTCTGGAACAGCAGGGATCCATTGGGGTAAATTGTCTCTCGACCACTGTATGCAGGCCCTGTGGTGATTGTTTGACTGACTGTTACATACGATACAATTCTGTAGCTGCTGTCCACCCTGTCCCCTTTGTACCAGCTGTAGCCATAAGGATCCTGTAGCACATTGTGGATGAGTAGAAGAACGTGCTTCCCCTCCACAGCATTGAGCGGCATGGATTCCACAGAGAGTTGGGCAGCGGCGGGCGTGTTCCAGAAGGTTAAAAGTGAGACTAGGAAGGAGGAGAGAGAATCAATCCATATTGGGACCTTGGAATTGGGATGGAAAGATGGGCCCTGAGTCCTGAGCAGGTCTCTTCACCCTCAGCCTTGGGATGTGTTGGACTGTGTGTGTCAGTATATGTGTGAGTGTGTGTGTGAGTATGTGAGAGTGTTTGAGTGTGAGTGTGAGTGTGAGCTCTGAGTCAAGGTCAGCAGTGTGACCATCATCACTCGAGCGCCTCTGGACTGGCCATGCCCCTGCTTGGAATCCTCTTCCCAGGTGTCTGCATGGCTCACCCCCCACTGCCCTCAGATCCCTGCTCACACTCAGGGGCGTCCTTGGGAGGGACCTTCCCTGGACACCTCCTCTAGGGACCCTGGGTTTTCCCTTCCTGACACTTCCCTGCCTCTTCCCTCCGTGGCTCTTGTCCACAGCTGGCCTCACATTCGAGATCTCTCTGCTTGTCTGTCTTCCTCCCACTAGGACGTGAGCTCCGTGAGGGCAGGGACGTGTCTGACCTTTGTTGTGCCCCAGAGCCTGGGATAGGCTGCGTACACCTGTGGGTGAGGCAATGAGTGTTCCGAGAGTGCTCCATGTCCTGCTGTTCATTGTACAATGAACATAAAGATAGTAGCTGACACTGGTGGGTAAGGGCCATGTTAGTGCCCCTCGTTATGTTTACTTGAAGCATAAGCCTGATATCGTTATTACCATTTTCAAAATGTAGTGACCATTGATGATGAACCTGGAGAACACAGAGCAATTGAGACTATCCTGCCCCTTTCCAATTACAGTTTAATGTGACTTTGCTCTTGTGACCTCTTATCCCCCTTCAGTGTCTTCTCCCCTCTTCAGGCTCCAACAGAAGTCCTCTGTCTCTCTCAAGCACTGTCCTCCCCAGGATACCCCAGCCAGCGTCTGTGCTCCCTCCTCGCACTGATCCCCAGGGCATCGTCCCTCTCACCTGTGAGCAGGAGCCTCTGCCAGGGGATGCATCCTCTGCGGGGAGAGGCTGAGAGGGGCTCCATGGTCTCTGTCCTCTGTGCAGAAGAGCTTCAGCTCCAGGAACGCTCCTGAGCACGGCTGGTCTGACCTGTCAGCTGTGCTGTCCTTCCTCTGTGCTGAGCCTCCTCCTGGGGCAGGAGCACTTCCCAGGGTCATGGGGCTGGGGCGGGGTCTGTGCCTAGGACACCTCCCTGTCCCCTCCCCTCTCAGTCCTGCCTCCTTGTCCCTCCTTCCCCTTTGCCTCTATTCACATTTCAGTACCCTGAAAACTGCTGAGACCTTTGCTATTTTCAGCAAGGATTCTGTCACTCTACCCTACACACACACACACGTACAACCAAAAGAGAATCACACATACACACAGACACAGAGATTGTACATCAGGCAAGCTGAGTGATGACTAGTACAGGGATCCTTCCTCTCTCACTGGGTCTAGCTTGGACACAGCTTCCATGACCCAGGTGCCCTAGAGGGAACTGCCCCTCCTCGAGGTGTGCAGTGTGAGGCTCTCATTTGTCCTACAAAGAGAGGCCTGTCCTGGCTGGTCCGCTGGGGTCTGTGGGCCCTGTGGTCACCAGGGACAGGTCTCAGGCACTGTCTGGCTCCCTGGGGTCTGGTAGCTGATTCGTGACACAGGGCCCATCCAGGTTGTCCCTGACTGTCCTATGTGGCCTCTGTCTTTTGTGCTGCTGACTGTCTTGTGGTGAGCCTGCCTTCCCATGGGTGGTGGTGGTGGGGGGGAGGGCGGTGGGCAGCTGCCCAGGGACCCCATAGGATGTGGCTCTGAGACCCAGGAGGGGCGGGCGGGGCAGAGCAGGGACTCAGACCTGCATACACCCGTGCTGACTCCTGACTGCCTCCGGGGCCAGGATGGGCTCAGCGTCCCGGTGCTGACTCACCTGGGGTCTGGCCTCGAGGGTTTGGGGGTCTGGTGAAGTCCCTCTGTGCAGAGGAAAGAGAGGCAGTGGCCAGAGAGCCCCTGTGAGGGGAGACAGTTACTCACAACTCAGGGGGCGGTGGCTGTGGGCTGTGTTGTGGGAGCGGATGGGGCTCCTCCCTCACCCCTGTCCACCTGTCGAGCTCTGTTCTCCCTCCCCAGTCAGGCGGGGTGGAGGCCCCACATGTGCCAGAGAGCAGGGTCAGACGGTTACACCCTCCGCGGTGCCTGTGCCCGGTCCTCGCACACTGCGGGGTCAGTCACCCTGTGTCTGGTCCATCTGCTTCCACCATGAGGAGCCCCTCTGCCCTGTCGGCTCCGGGCTGGGCCCTGACTCCCCAGGGAACAGGACAGGTGGAGCCAGGGGCATTTGGTGAGCAGGTGCAGAAATAGGTGATGGCGCTGGAGAGAAGGTCATGAGGGAAAGTGCCCTTTTGGAGAGGACGCGGGTGTGCAGGGCAGGAGCTGCCTGCAGGGGGAGTGGCCTTCAGGTGGGGACACCTGGTGGTGGAGGAGGTGACAAAGAGGTGTGGGGAGCTTGGGGAGCGAGGAGCACCATGGGCTGAGGCGCAGCCAGTGAGGGTCAGACCACCTTGGGTGAGGGTGGTCGGCGCCCAGGCGGCTCCAGGATGGAGGACGTGCGGAACATCAGGGTCTTTGAGGGCAGAGGCTGTTTATTCTTTGTTTTTGTATTTCCTGAACTTATGCAGTGCCTGGCACTTTGGGAGTACTCTATAAGTGTTTGTCAAATTGAGGGATCATTTCGTGGGCCCTTAACTAGGCTCCTTCGTGCATCAGATTGAGAGTTATGTGCATTTACTGACCACAGCCACACGGTGGCGGCAGTGTCCCACCAGTGTTCCCTAAACCTCTACCCGGATGTAGGCAAGTGTGGGAGAGCCTGTTATGGCTAGGAAAAGGCACAAAGGAGGTGTAAACTTCTTTTTCTTCTTTGTCCTGTGAAGTGACAGAGTTGAGGTGAGTGTGAAATAAAAGAACTGGAAAACACTTTAGAGAAGCACTTCACAAACTCTAACGGGCTTATACATCACCCAAAGCTTGTCCTTAAATACAGATTTTCATTGTTCCAGTGGGGCCTGAGATTCTGCACTTCTGGTGGGTGTTTGGATGATGCTGTTGCTGCTGGCTGGGAACCACACTTTTAGTTGCAAGACTTTAGGATCACTTAGATTAATTTTCCCTGCTCCTGATTTGTGGATGAAGAAAGATTGAAGCCCAGGGAGAGCATATAACTTGCCTAACAGAGCCAGGACCTTAGTTTGCATTTAAACCCAGGGCTATGGCCTCTTCATCCAGTTCTCTCTTCACTGCATCATGTGGCCTCCTTTGCTGTTGTGAGTAGCATCTCTTTAGCTTGGGAACCCAGGAGCCTGTTTTCACCATCCTCCTGGTCTTGCTCAAGCTGTCACTTTGGTTACTCCTTTACTGAAAATCTTCAGTGGCTCTTCTGTAATCACAAGATCAAGTTCAAATGTTGCCATCTAGCATTCGTGGCTACAAAATGTATGGCCCCTTTTGGCAAGCTTACTTATCTTCCCTATTTTTCAATCCTCTCTTTCTGCCAAAGTTCTCTCTCTCTATTCCATCCTGTCCCCTAAATGTGCTACATTCTGGTCTCTCTCCGGGGTGGTAGTGCTGGGACGGGCTCTGGGGCTAGACTGCCTCAGTTTCTCATTCCAGACCCACTGCCAGCCTTGGCAGGTTCCTTCACCTTTCTGAGGATCAGCTTCCTCCTCTGAATAACTTGTATGTTGGTGGGTAGGAATGAATAAAATACCACGGAAACCCACTCTCCTTCATGAGGGCCTCTTCAAACCTAGTATATACAGTGGTGCCTGAATCTGGCTCCCTGGGCTCATACTTCTGGTTGTTTCTGCTTCCCTGAGGCTAACCAATCAGGGCCTGATCTGAATCCTGCCTCTTTCATGGAAACTTTCTCAGCCATTCCGGACCCAGTTGTTCCCACCCTTCCATAAATCATCTCACCTGTGTGTTAGCATTTAGTCGTGTGCTAGCCCTCTCAGTGAGACACCCTAGGGTGGCTTGAAGGATATTGGCTGTGTGATAACTGAGGGGTAATTGAGTTAATTCTTCGGTTAGTGCTTCCTGAGTGTGGAAACTATCTTGTGTTTTTCTCAGCTGTTGACTAGCAACAATTCCTGCACCAGCCGTCTAGACCCTGGTGGTCTTGTGAGCACTTTAGGGATTGCTGTGTCGGGGTCCTTCCTGCCTCTGGATTTTGGTTAAATTGCTGTTTGCTTTGTATGTTATCAGATGGTCCCTCTAAGGGAGGGATTGATAAAATTGTTCTTGGAAATCCATTATAATGACTCTAAGGAAGTTGAGCACAGTGTCTTAGTGCTTCAACAGCCCGGTAGCAGGAGATGTGTACACTTTCCTATTTCATGAAATTTACGCTAGGATCTTTAGTCTCTTACTTCAGAAGAGATTAAGGACAAAAGACCAAGTGGGGAGGACAAAGGTATTTAAAGGGAAGGGTCAGGTACCTCTAGCCTGGATTCTGTGCGTTGTTCATTCATTGTACCCGGAGGTGTGCAACTTTGCATGTGTGGTCATATGTTTATATCACATGGTTCATCATCCCTCCTGGCTAGGGCAATTAGGAGCTCACGTCTGGCTTATGACAGTAAGGTTACATGGTTTGTGCTTTCCCTGCAGCAAAGGTTTCTCTAAGGTCTGGAGAGAAAACAGGCCAGGAGGGCTGGAGAATTCATTTAGGCTCTTGCCTTCTCTTGTTATTGGACAGCAGTCTACTCACCCATCACTTTATCAGGGGATTTGGGCCTTCCCATTCCCGTGCCGTGAGTCCATGACAAAGTCCAGATATATTTATCTGTGCCTGGAATTGGATGTTCTTTTAAAAAGAGAGGCCCAAAGAATGGCTTCCTAGCTGATTTCTAGGATTCTAATCTTCAGTGTCTAAGCTATTGATTTCCAGCCTTGAATATTGGTTAGAATGACCTGTAGGGCTTACACACACACACACACACACACACACACACACACACACACACACACACACACAGAGAACACCCCCACCAAGATAACCAGGGTGGCCCTACTCCCTTACTATGATACTCACACTGAACTCAGCACTCAACTGTGTGCCAGGCACGACCCTATGGCTTTTCTTGTAAGTTACAATCCTCACCAAAAATCCTGTGAGCAAAACCATACCTACTTTTACAAATTTAAAAAACCGAGGCAGAGAACCTAATGTGGTCCAAGTCCATAATTTAACCCCATCCACCACCCTATCTGGGCAGAGGATGCCCTAAGGTTTCTGAGGTCTCCTGAATGGCATCCACCTTCCAGAATGACTTTCGACAAAAACAGCAACTTTCTTTGCTGTCTGGGCTGTTCATCTGTGCACCTGTTCACTAAACACCACACTCCACAACTCCACAGCCCTCCCTAAAAACTTCATTTTATGAATCTCAGTATCTGGGGAAAAGCAGAACCAGCTGTTCAGTCTTATAATTAATCACTTTTACTCATATATCAGATTCAAAGCCATTCTCTGGTCATAAATGGGTGCACCAGGGGAACAGAAGTATAATGAAAAAGATTTATGAGGAGGGTGAGTCTCTCGAATGGTCACAGCGGGAGAAGATTCTAAGTCCAGAAACAGGCAAAAAGAACACCCAGAGTTTGTGGCGTTTGAACAACTGCACGTGCCACCTTTCTCTTTCCATGCCTGCTGCACCTGATGCCTTCTCACCTGCTCTCCTGCCTTGCCGTTCAGCACCAACACTAGAGGACTGGGAGCTGGCCAGACCAGAGCACCCAGCACTGAGCTAGGGGGTGGAAGGCAGTAAACGAGAGATACTGCCTCCACTCATAAGGACCTGGCTCACCTAGGTACACATCACCTGGGCAGGGAATGGATCAGTGAAGGGTTATGCAGGACTCACACAGCTTTACGCGGACTTGCACTAAGGAGTTCTGCTGCCTTCGGTGCTGTCTGAGAGCAACTGGTGGTGTGGAAGACATCACAGCATTTCTCCCATCTAGTAACCATTGTCCTCCCTTCCACTACAGTTGGTTACCTTTCTCTGCCCACTTATTTTACGCTGAGTGCTGGTTCCAAAAGAAACATACTTTCTCAGTTGAACCCTAAAGTCCCAAGCATTCAGTATCACGTTTCAAAGAATGCTTCCATTGCCATCTTAGTGATACGCCCAGGACAAATATTTTTAAAAGCCTGCAGGCAGACTCTGCTGATACAGAGCCTTTGCACCACCACAATCTTTGTGAACCACCGAAGCCCATAAAATTGAGAAGTCTCCTGCATGTGCAGGGACCTTTATGTTTGCCACTTCATCTACTACTCACAACTTTATTGCAATAGGTATGACTATCCCTCTATTCCAAGATATAAACAACTTGTCACCTTTTCTCAAACTGCCTATAGATGGAACCAGATCAGACCACAATATTTCGAATCTAAAGCTCATATTCACTCACACCACACCATTGTACTACCAGAATTCAAGACGGAAGGTGACTGCTTCTGACAACCAACAACAAAACAATGCAGGCTTTCCAGTGAAGAGACAGGATCTGCAATGGGCCCGCCTCAGGATGAAGAAACGAGGTCAGGAGTGGGAAGGCAAGGTTATACTAAAAGCAAGGAAAGAATGAGAATGATTCAGACCTTAAAGAAGTGAGATGCAGAACAGGTCCCTTGCTCATAACGCTCCAAGGAGTAAGCCATGGGGGCTACACATACATGGGGGGCTTGAGTGGCACCTAAGTAATTTGACTTTATGCTTATAGATAAAAGGATTGAGTGGAAAGATTTCAGTCACATTACAGAAAACGCATTTTGCAGAAATTATTTAGCCATAGATTAGCCAGAGAAAATAAGGAAGCAAGTCTCAACATTGGGAACTCACATAGCTGGAAGCCTTCTTTTTTTCAACTTTTCTTTTTGAAATGATTTCAGACTTTCAAAAATGTTCCAAAAGTAGTGAGAGTCCCCAAGAACTTTTTACTCAACTCCCCTCAATATTCACATTCTAGGAGTACACAGGAGTACATCCCCTCAAAATCATAAATTCATGTTATCCGCACAAACTAATTAACACAGGAGCGTGTTCAAATCCATCGTATTCTTGCCGCCACCGATGTCCTTTGTTCTGGACCATGGAGCCCAATCTAGATCACACATGCATTTAGTTCTTTTTGTCTCCTTAGTCCCCCCGTCCTTATCCTGTAACCTGGGATGGCTCCTCAGAATTTCATTTGCCTTTATGACCTTAACACTTTGAAGCATACTGGCCAGTTATTTGGTACTGTGACCTTCATTTTGGGCTTATCTAATATTTTCCCATGGATTAAACTCGGGCTGCACGGTTTGGGCAGGAACCACAGAACACAAGCTGCACCTGCTTAGTCCATGATATTGGGAGGCCCAAGATGTGGATACCTCTGATCACTGGGATGTGTAACTTGAGCCTAGATAAGAGTCCTGCACTGTGAAATGATGTTTCAACTAGAAAGCATTTCCCTGAATCCACCAATGGCCTGTCAGCATCATAGGACCATTCAATCACACTGTCTTGCACCTAAGGCAACCTAAGGTTTTGGT